GAACATTAGAACAGGAAAATAGAGAGATTGTTAAATAAGGCAATAGAGAAGGGACTTTGAGGGGGAAAACTAAATCCGTACCCTTGTCATCCCTAAAAACTTCATAACGCAAGCGGAAGAGGTGGAGCTCATCGTCTAGCGCGAACTCCCAATTGCCCAAGACAATTAAGTAGTCGTCTGTCACGCCCTTATTTGAGTCTGGAATTAGTGTTGGCTATCAATTTGTATTGTGTAGATCTCGGCTTGAGGTAGTACATGTAGCCAGAGTTGGTCTTAAGGCCGCACATTGTGTAGCAGTACTAGATATCAGATAGAGTTATTGTGGCATTCTGCCGATGTGCCAACTCGGCAATTGCATTGATGATCCTAAAGGAGTTAAGGGCCAATTGCATGGGATTCAGTTTGTAGTAATGGAGAACCTCTCTAAAGAGGATGTTAAGGGGAAACCTGACTCTGCCCTCAATAATGGAGACTACGAGAAAGGGCATGTATTCTTACCCAGGCATGATAGAGTCACCCTCTCCAGCCAACCGAAAGTGAACATCGATTGGAATGGAGAACTCTTGCCTAAAGTATTCTAATTTGGCTGGGGTATCCACTCTCCACCTAAACGTACCCATGATGTCGGCTATATGTAATTGGTATTGGATTTCAGAAAAGAGTGATTGGTATGGGTCTAAAGACTTCGGCTAAAACCTAGACAGCACTAGGTTGAGGGTTTCTGAAGACCAAGAGGAGGATTTTGTTTTAGTTTTCCTAAATAACAGGGTTCTAAATCCCAAACCTAATTCTATACAGAAACAAGAATCAAAGGCAAGAATCTGGAAACAAAGCAAGAAAAGCAGGAAAAAGAGCATGATTCAGAATCAAGAAAGCAACAGAGATTCAAGAATATAAAAAATTACAAATCCGCAAAACACTGAGTGAGTGTGTGCAAGGCAGTGTGCAAGAACCATAAGCAATACAAATACCCTAGAACTCAAGAACAAATTATGATGCATAAAATAGATTCAAGAACAAGAAATGATGACCAAAACATGAAGATAGAAACATAGTACGACTATGAAAACGAATTCAATGGCAATAGATACAGTATTGATATATATTCAGGACAGTGGAAGACTAAACTAAAAGAGAATGAAATTAAGAGCTTACCAAATAGGGCCGAGAACGCAGACATTGGAATGAGGTTCGCTGCAGTTGGATGATGATGATCGTGACCAAACAATAAAAAATTCGCCGGAGGTACGAAATGGAGCACGGTTGTAAAGCTTAGAAGGTATGAAAATTGTGGATTTCGTAGAGAGAGAGAGTCTAAACAGAAAAAGAATAGAAGAATAAAAAGCGAAGAGACGAAGTGAGAGAAGGAGGAGTTTTGTCAAAAATTCAAAAAGGTGGCAAAACATAATGAATTAGCCTTGGACGGCATGCTTGTCAAGCGGTGTGATCAGAAGCGACGCGACTTAATAGCGTGTGTCAGGTACGAACTAATGAGGAAGGGACGCGTGGAGGAAATGATTGAAAAGACTGTGCGTGACAGCTCATACACAGTTAGGAACTCTTGAAATTCTTGAAGTAATGAGGCCATAACCTCGGCTAGAGGAACGATCTCGGTTGAGATGCTCAAAGAGCTTGGTTTTTGGTTTTTGGTTCTTGGTTCTTGGTCCTTGATAGAATGGGCAGAAGAGTCTTGGTTACTTGAAGCCGATGAGTCATAATCTCAGTCGGAGAGATGAATGGATTGTTAGCCGACATACTATATGGACAAGCGATGTAGGTTCCATTACCTCTGGTTGCCAAGGTAATATAACCTAAAGGACAGTTGTGGGGACATATTTTATGAGTAACAGCACGTGGCTAAGGTAACCCCGAAGTGTCAGCCGAGGTGCCACGTGGCCTGGTCATATTTTTCAAGATTATCTCGGCTAGGCCGAGGTTATCTACGGAGATACCGGAATCCGAAATAAGCAGATAAGGGACAAGAGTCCTAAAACAGAGGAGGATCTCAGTTTGGATAAAGATAAGGCTCAATAAGAGTTTATCTCTATCTAGGTGAAGGTCCAAGATGAGCATTGAGCTTGAGTCCATTGAAGTGAGGCTGCTAATTGAATCAGATCACTGTGGGTTATAAAAGCAAAGCACCCTCATGGGTCTGAGGTAAGCTTTTTCTGGTTAGTATAAGTACTATTTTCAATCTTTGAAAGATATTATTTACTGACTTGATCGTCAGAGTGCCCCCGGGTGGACGAACACCGTCAGATTCTCATATTCTTTTGCAAGTTGTTAGGCTTAATCTATTCTGCCGGTGCTCTCCAGCTGAATTCCTCTTTTGTGGTTGTGTGGTCGGAAATCAACACCCACACATCCCAATATTATTTATACCGTACCTTTAGACACTGACTTACACTAGTGTTATTAATTCACTACTTCATTAGTTTGTCTAATTTATTAAAAATATATGTAATGTAATAGTAACATTATTGTACATAGTGTTATATTGATTAATAAAAAATTATAAATAAAATTAGATGGACAATTTTTATCTGCTACTAATCTAATCATATTCTCACTATAACTACAGATTACTCATTAAATAACACAATCACATATAGTATCACCATCATATTCAATATTTGTTATTGGTTTAGGAGATTTCATACATGTTCTTGGAATGTATTCCTATACTTCTATTTCTAGATCTCTAATTGATCTTTTGATTATAATGACTAAGTTTGCGTTTGGTAAACATGTTGGGACTAAAAAAGTACAAAAAGACAAAATAGACTATATAAGCCAACAAGACAAAATGGCCCTGTTTGGTAAAGTTGTGGGAAAGTTCTTATAGCTTATGCCTCAACAGCTTATAGCTTATAACTTTCAGCTTAAGCTGATTTCCAGCTTATTCTTAAAGCATCTCTTGCCCCACTCAAAGAATAAGCTGATTTCTGACTTCCAAAAAGCTATAAGCTATAAGCTATAAGTTAAACTAAACACATCAAAATAGCTTAAATTAAGCTGAAAGCTAAAATAAGCTGTAATTAAGCTCTGCCAAACAGGCACAATGTCACATTCAAACCATAATCATTACACTTTTTCTCTCACAAAAGTCAAAAAGTCCAAAAATAAAAACCAAACGAGGTTTAAAAAGTCCCAACACAAAAAAAAAAAAAAAAAAAATTGACTAGCATAGCCAATGTCAAACGAAGCTTAAGTAGCATGAACACCTCCTCTGATCGGCTAAAATTCCTTGGTCAGATGTCTCCAAATGTTGTTTGCAGTTAAAGTGAAGCACAAAGTCACAAATGCTCAATTTGGAAATTTGGTTAAAAGTCCAAAGTCAACTTTTAACCTATTTTTGGTCACATCACTTCTCTACTTTTTTACATATTTTTTTCAAAAAAAAAAATCAAAAAGTCAACTTTTAACCTACTTTCTAAAACAATCCAAGGTCTCGAGCTAACTTCAAAATCATTAACCGTAATGTTATATTTGAATGTTAAGTTTGTGATAATAAATAAAAATGAAAAGAAATTATACATATTACTTTTTTCATAAATGTCTAAAAAGATGATTCTTTTGTTTGGACATATATCTATATATTTTCGTCTAATTTCTAACCCAACCAAGGAAAAAAAATTCTCAGTCCATTTTCTTTTGCTATCTTTTTCATTTCCTTTTCTTTTCGTACTACAAATTTTACTGCGATGGCTTGGCCTGCAAAAATTTTAATAACCCTAACTAGAAAAGCATTTAGGCCTAGTTGTTTTGTTATGTTTTTAGATCTTCTACCCCCCAAAGATCTTATAGAAGCTCATATAATTCCTTTGACCTTAATTGTTTTTTAAGTCATCATTATTTATTATTATTATTATTAATTATGTAGATACATGACAATTTAATGTGATTTTTAATTATATATAATTAATTTAAATATTTATATATATATATTTACATATATATCACTACAACAAAATATACCTTTGGCGATCAAAATTGGCAACTAAAAAAAATTTAGTCGCCAAAAGTTATGAAATTGGCGACTAACATTTTTTTTAGTCGCCAAAAATAAAATATTTAACTACTAATTTTTTTTAGTCGGCGTATATTCATTATTGGCGACTAAAAAACAATTTAGTGGCTAAAAATGCCAGAATTGGCGACAAAAAAAAACTTAGTCGCTGTATATTGACTTTTGGCTACTAAAATATTTAGTCGCTGAATGGGAAATAAAAAAATTATTTTTTCTCTTTGGCGACTAAAGTTTTAGTCACCAAAAGTTTACTTTCAGCGACAAAATAAAATTTAGTCGCCGTATATTGACTTTTGGCTACTAAAATATTTAGTCGCCGAATGGAAAATAAAAAAATCATATTTTGTCTTTGGCGACTGAAGTTTTAGTCGCCAAAACTCACTTTCGGCGACAAAAAATTATTTTAGTCGCCTTCAGCTGACAAAAAGTTTTTTTTTTTTTTTAATCTTTGGTAACCTATCTTCAGCGACTAAAATTTAGTCGCCAAATCTGTTCAAAATTTTACTGGAAAAAATTTCATATTAGCGCCTAAATTTTTGCCCAAATCTATTCACTTTGCTTGGTTCCTATTTTCAAAAAACACTTTTCAGAAAATTCTACTTTCTTGTTTTTTGTATTTTTTTTGTTTTTACTGAATTTGTTTTAAATTTTAAGTAATTTTTTTTACTTTTTAGATATATATGTCTAAAAAGTAAAAAAATTGTGAAAAAAACAGTTTAAAAATTCACTAAATACCAAAAATACAAAAAAAAAAAAGAGAATTCAGTATATTTTTTGTATTTTTATGTATTTATTAATTTTTTAAAATATTTTTTCACAAATTTTTTACTTTTTAGATACATCTAAGTAAGGTAAATTTAAAAAAATAAAAAAATATTTAAAATTTTAAAAATATTCACTAAAAATAAAAAAAAACTTAAACCAAACACACTGATTATTTCTTCACACGGTTCTTTCTCTCCCTCTCTCTCTCTCTCTCTCTCGTACAAAATCAATCATTCGTACTACCCTCTCAGCTCTCTCGAATCGATTGTGAACCCGGTTCAACACACCTTGGAGACGGAGGACATGGGAGCCGGATGCTTCACACTGAACATTTCTAGGGTTAATGGGTCGGTGGCGATCGATACAGGAATCGTTCAGGCTTCGGCGACACAGACCGTGTTTGATCGAAACCCAGTTGTGATTTTAGGGTTTCGAGAGTTTTGTTCCTAGTAAATATAATCTTGTTTTTGCACATTTTTCAGCTTCATTTGTATTTGGTTCTTAAAATTTCTCACTAGAACATGTTTACATGATTCATTCATTCGGTGCAATTACTTCTCAACGATAGAATTTTTTATTTTTTTTGCTGTAAAACTGTGAAAACAAGAGCTTAATGAAAACGACAGGTTTGAGGATCCTGAGTTTTCTAATTTTTTTGGTTTCCCTTCACAATAGCTTCTCAATAATTTTTTCGTGTCTTGGATTCTTCAATTTTATATTTGCTACTTTCACCAGTTTTGTATTTGATTGCTTCTAAGAAATTCTGCGTGAAATTTTTGCTTTTGATCTCAATGTAATAGAACAGGTCAGTTTTTGAAAATTTGTACAATTAGTTGGGTGACTGAGATTGATACTTCCTTAATCCTACAGTTAGATTTGTTTCTCGAACTTTCAATGTTCAGCGCCACGACTCTTCTTTGTCCCCTCTCCCTTCGACATTGCAAAACACACTAGAATATGTTGTTGAGACTGGGAGTAATTAGAAAAGGATTTTGGCTACTGACCTGATCCACTCAATCGAGCGGAGGTTCTTGGCTGCACAAGCAGAATCTGACTGGGACGATTGTTTTGATACTGGACTAATCTGTGTGAGTGGAGCCTCTAGGCAGCACAACTGGAGGTTTTTGACCTGAATGATTTTGTGCACACAAAAAATCATTGTTCTGTCCAGATTTGATCCAGCACTTTAAATAGACCTTTATAACTCCATTCGTTATAAGTTTTGTGATCTTGTTGAGAGATATATACATCAGTGAAAGATCAATAGTGTGTGCGAGATTGAGTGTGAAGAGACTTGTAATTCTTTTATTCAAATTTTAGTTAAGTGACTCGGTGGACATAGCCTTGAATTTGGGTGAACGATGTAAATCTCGTGTTGCTTTGTGGGTGAACCACATAAACCACAGTTTGGTCTTGTTTGCCTATGTGTGGTTTTACTTTCTCTAGATGTAGAGATGTTTTCTCTTTGGATACACTACTCGGTAACTATTTATGTATATTTATTTTTCCTATTTCAATATTGTACTTGGTGAAAATAAAGAAGCTTAGATCTGTTATGTTGGTTTAGAATTTTTAACATCTTTTCCACACCACAGTTTGGTCTTGTTTGCCTATGTGCGGTTTCACTTTCTCTAGATGTAGAGATGTTTTCTCTTTGGATGCACTGTTGAGTCACTCTTTATGTATATTTATTTTTCCTGTTTCAATATTGTACTTGGTGAAAATAAAGAAGCTTAGATTTGTTATGTGGGTTTAGAATTTTTAACATTTTTTCCACATAACATACGTGGGTTTAGTTTCTATATTATTTTAAGGATTTATGAGAATGAAATTGGTCTGATTTTGACACTTTAAACTTTGTCAGAGTACAAGTAAAGTTTTATGTTTTGGTGGCTACATTTTGCTGAAGGTCCAATGGACAAATTAAATGTACAAGACTGCTATAGAAATCAATAGTAGTGTATGGAAATTAACATGTATGATATTCTTTACTAATGAAAGGCTGTTGGTTATTGCTTATTCTTCTTTATGATCTGCAGTATTACAAATGCTTAGGGTCATGGCTAAATGGAAAATTAGGCCAATGTATGTGGCTGTAATTTACTAAAAATTTAAAAGATGATGTTTAATATATATATGTGTGTGTGTGTATAAATATAATGCTTTGTACATGTATTGCAGGTGAATCAATCGCTAAATTATTGTCACTCAAAAGCAGCCAGATCATTCAATCTACGCTCTACATAAGGTACCGGATTTGTAAAACAAGCGGTGGTCAGTCTCCAGGTGAATCACTTACCTTTATGCCTTAAAGACTTGTGAGGTTGATTATAGTAATAATTAAATTTCTCATTTGTAAAAGAACTTAAAAGCTATAAATTTCAATTTTCTATTTTGGAGGAAATCTGATTTATAAACTATAAATTTTGTTTCTTCGTTCAAGAAGAAAATCTTGTTAATGATTTTATCTCGAGGTTTCATTATGTTTCATCATTTATCTTATTTGGTTTCATTTCCTATGGCATAACTTGTATCACAGGGTGGGGAAGAGAAGTATCGAAAGGCATGGGCACAAATTTGCGAAATCAGTCAAAGGGAATATCAAAGAGTTTATCAACGCCTAGGAATTACGATAGAGGAGAAGGTGCTTAATTGATATTTTTCTTTCTAACTAATGACAATGTCAAACATTGATTGTATTTTCCACACCTGTTTTCTGCGCCATGGAGCCACGTAAAAAAGACACCAACTTTTGATTTCAATCTATAGCGTGCATGCTAAAAATAGAACATTCTTGGTTTATGGTTCACAGCCCCCTGCCCCACCAATTGTATATTTCATCCGATTCAAATGTATCTGCTTTAAGTCATTGTCACTTTATATTTTGACTGATGTTATCAGGTTGGCCATTTTGTATGACTACTTGAACTAATGCTAGCTTGATATCTAAGATCACAATTCTACAAAGGCAAAACATTGTTATTTCGTCATCTTAGTTACTTATTGTATAGCTGTAATAACTAAAAGATTACTTTAAATTAGTGGGCACAAGAACTGTGGCAAGACTAGACTATGAATCTTAAGATGTTGCCTTACCTTTTGCTAAATGAAATATTTACTTAACCAAAAAAAAAAGAAAGAAAAATGTGGTTGCTTTACCTTTGCTTCCACAAAAGACCGAAGAGGATTCAACCAAAATTATTGACTTTCCATGGTCCCCAATGATGGAAAGCCACCATCGAATCCGCATAGATTCATTCTACTTGGAAAATATGGCTTAGTTAGCTCTCTACCCATCTATCTATTACTGATAGGCTCGGTTGGCTAAGTAAGTACTTCTCTTGTTAGGTTAGCTAGTAATTAACTTAGACATAATCGGCAAGGCTTTCATGCTAGTAAGTACTTCCACTGGCCAGTACTCTTTTTTTGGTTAGCTAGTAATTAATGTAGGCGTAGTTGGCAAGGCTTTTGTGCCAGTGCTTTGTATACATCATGTGTATAATAATCCTGTCTCCATTTGGAAATGGAACTTGCTTGGAGAAAAGAATGTTTATTGTGAGTTGATTACACCAATTCTTGCTTATTCAACAAAAATAGAAGTTAACCATTGTTCTTGACGAACCTAACTAATTTTTCCTATAAACGTCTTTGAAAATTTTAGGGGCCCTGAATAGGTCTATATTCAGAAAGGTTCAAATTGAGAATTTTTGTGGACTGGAGGTTGGAATCCTATTGATTAGTGCTAGTTGGATATGGTTGAATGTCTTGAGTGGTGAATAATTAATAATCATATGATGTCTGCTACATGACTGTGTGTAACTATGTGAATACTGCATGTACTTGCAATCTAGACCAATTTTACTGTTTTCGCTTTCTTCTGCTGCCTCTCCAAACTTCCCACAAGCACAAGAGGCATAGTAGTGTACTTTGTTTTCTTACAATTGTTGGTATGTATTTTTAGACTTTCCCTGATTATTTCTCATCCTTTTGCGTCACAATATTCACAAATGAATTTTTTCTTGTTCATATTGTTAACAGATTGATAGCATCATGTCAACAAGGATGGCAAATGAGCATGATGCAAGCAGAAGCTTAAAATCGGAATTTCTAGTTCAGTTTGATGGGGTGACCTCAAATTCTGATGATCTAGTAATCGTCATAGGTAATGTCCTATTTCAATTAAATGTATCCCAAAATTGTCGATTCGGGATTAGTCATATAAAGTTGTAAACTATTTTATGCTATTTCTTTATCTATACTTGTATTGCTTAGAAAATATTAGGCGTCATGTCTTCTAGTATAATGTGATTCTATAAGAAGACGACTAACTGCCGCAAGAGGTTGGTTCAGCTGACTTGGTATTGTCAGGCTTATCTGAAGGTTTTAGGCATTTGGGTTTGAACTTTCCACTTGAGTTTATAAATGCTTCCTGATCTGCTTACCTGTGGAATCGTAACAATTGAACCTTAGTAGTTAGTAGTAAAAGAGTACGTATTCAAATAAAAATGGGAATTGGTAGTAATGCATCCTTCATCTGCATCTCTCTAGTGTGATAACCTTGTCCTGTACTATGTTAATTAATCATGCTTATGTTTGTAATTACGTGCTTAATTCGAATTTGGGTGTTAATTGCATGATTATATGTGAATTTGGCTTTGTATTTGTTTACCGTAGGAAAATCTGTTCGAATCTGCGCTTTGAACTGAAGATTGAAGGCCTTATCGGCCACCGAAGCTAAAATTGACTACACCATTGTGATTGGCGTAATTTTTAGAGCCTTTGGTGAAATTTAATTGGAAATTGATTCAGATCAAAATAATTAGATTCAGAACGATTAATTAGGCTCAATTAATTGGACTAACTAAGTGTGATTAGAGAGGGCCTATATAAATGAGCTAAGTGTGCTTAGGCTCATATGGTTTTGAGTTCAAATCAGATTTTATGTTCTAGAGAGAGAGAGAGGGCCAGTTTAGAGAGAGAGAAGGCATCCTTGAAGATTTTGCAAGGGAACTCAAGATTTGGGAGGCTAGGCTCTAGAACTAGCTAAAATTGTGAAAATTGAAGCTCCTAGGTGAGTATTTAAGCATAAATTCATGGATTTTAGTTTTTAATTTGGTGAATTCAAAGTTGAGTAGTGATCAAGAACATGAATTGAATTGATTACGATGAAAATGAGTTGGTTTTGATGAATTGGGAGTCAATATACACATGCATGTAAGAATTTGCCATGAAGTTGTATAATTGAGCATGAAAAACATGATCCATGTAGAATTGTGGTTAAAATTCATGCTTTTGATCATCATTTGTATCATCTACGTTGAAAATGGAAGTTATAGTTCACATGCAAGTGCAATTCATAGAAGCATGAGTGTTAAATGCATGAAATTGAAGTATTGATGATGGGTTTGATATGAATCGTGTGTGTGTGTAAGTAATTCATGGAAATTAAGCTTCATAATGTTGTAATCTAGCAATTGTAACATGTTAGAAGGTTTGCATGTGAAGTATAAGTCGTGGTATGCAAGTTGTTTGAGTTTGAATGCAAGTTTGAGCCTCAAGAACAATTCTGGATTTTCCAAAATTTGACATGTCCGCTCGAGTGGGGGAATCGCCGCTCGAGCGGGAAATACGAGCTCCCTAAAGTTTTGTAGACATGGGTGTCCGCTCGAGCGGGGAGATTCACGCTCGAGCGAGGAACCATATAGTGAGACTTTCAGCTCGAGCGTCCGAATTCATGCTCGAGCGTAAAAATGAGGCAACCAGTACTTTTGCAGACCAAAGGGGGGTCCGCTCGACCGGGGAAACCTGCGTTCGAGCGGGGAACCCTGTTTCTGAAATTTTGTAAAGTTGAATTGAGTTTCATTTTCCATTCTCTTCCATATCTAAACACTCTTAGGCATGCATGAAGCATTGTAAATGAGTTAAAAGGATAAGAATGAAGCCTAAGAGGAAAATAAGAATTAAGAACGGAATGAATCGTTTGTGACCCATTATGTTCATGAAATGTGTAGGGTCAAGCACGAGGGCAAATCCACCGGCAGATCACTGTGAGTAATATCTTAGTAAAGATATTTTCAAGTATGTTACTTTCCAAATGCTACTTCTGTATAAGCTTCATGGATTTGTTTATTTGAAATATGAATGAGTGTTTTATATGCCTAATTTTGTATAAGGCCGTTTGTAGCTTGATACGTTAATATATCTGAATTGGGCTTAAGGCCATTTGTAGCTTGATACATTTGATATATCTGAATTGGGCTTAAGGCCGTTTGTCGCTTGATACGTTTGACTATAATGAATAATTGGGCCAAAGGCCGTCGGACATGAATAATTGGGCCAAAGGCCGTCGGACATGAATAATTGGGCCAAAGGCCGTCAGACATGAATAATTGGGCCAAGGGCCATCGAACATGAATAATAGGGCCAAAAGCCGTCGGACAGGAATAATTGGGCCAGAGGCCGTTGGATATGGATGAATGGGCCAACGAATGGGCCAGAGGCCGTTGGATATGAATGAATGGGCCAACGAATGGGCCAGAGGCCGTTGGATATGAATGAATGGGCCGGAGGCCGTTGGATATGAATGAATGGGCCAACGAATGGGCCAAAGGCTGTTGGATATGAATATAAAGAGAATGGGCCCGAGGCCGTTTGATACGCCTGATATGTTTGAATTGGGCCCGAGGCCGTTTCACATATTCGAATTGGACCAAAGGGCGTTTTGAATAAAGAGTTGGTTGGACCAAAGGTCGTTTTGTATAGATGGACTCGAGGTCACATTGGTTTATATAAGAATTGGACCTGAGGTCGTTTTACATATGGATATGATGTGTTGGACCTAGAGTTATTTTGCTTTGTTGAGATTTGTAAATCTGATATGAATGAGAATAGTGGTTCAATTATGTACATTATAAGTATGATTCATTTATGAACGAATCTCATTCATTAACCTCTTTATTTTGATATTATTCACTGGGCGTTACCTCACTCTCATTTATGTGTATGTAGGTGAGCAAAGGGACGTTCAACCCCAGCCTTAGTGGAATTTAAGAAAGGAACCCAAGTTTTGTGAAGTCAGCCCAAGTGCCTCACGCAAGAGGCTTGTTTATGATCTTTTGTATTTCTTTCGCTACTTCTATTGATCATGATAGACCTTTTATGTATATAAGCTTTTGGTTTAGCTTACTATGTGTTTAAATGATCCTGGGTATACAAGATGTTGACTACTGATATGTGGTGTGAGTTATTATTGAGTACATGTGAAATGTTTTGATATGCCATGTAAGCATAGCTCATTGGACAAAATTTTTAAGTCTGCTTCTGTTTGGCCCCTTAACTCTGATGGAGTATATTCTAATCCGATTTGAGGCTGTAGGTAATCTCATGATTACTGACCGGTTATGACCTTAATCTATAAGGGCTGGTTCGGGTCATGACATCTAGTCTACAAATGCTCATAGAATGTAAATTGGAAGGATTATGGGAAGAAGCATACATGCTTACCATTGAATGACCTTTTTTATTGTACTTGTAATATTCTTTCAAATTGATAGTTAAATCTTAGTTGTGGAGGATTTAATGACCAATTGATATAAATGTTACCTCATAACGCTAAGATCACATCAATGGATTTCAACATTGCCTTTTTGAGGGATGGATGGATGACATATTCATGTGAATTTTTTTTATGTCAATTTATTTTTGGGATTTAAGGAGAAGAGAACCTTCATATAGTTTTCTGAGGTGGAACTAGCAGACACTGGTTTATATTAGTGAATGTTAATCAATGTATTATGCCCGGTTGTATTCTACCCTCATCTTTCTCTTTGTTAACTCTTCTGTTATGTTAATGCAGGTGCAACTAATAAGCCACAAGAATTGGATGATGCAGTTCTTAGGAGATTGGTTAGTGTCTTGTCATATGAACTTTCTGCTATTGTTTTAGGAGCTTTAAGTATGAATAAGTGATAGATTTTACTGAAAGGGATGTATCTTATTAATCGATATTAATCATTTAATGATATATACTTGTGCAATATCTCATGAAAATATTGTAATTGTTGCTAGTAACTGGAGTCTTGTGTTTGAAACTTTGGATCTAACATTCATTGATTAGGCCTTTTCTTTTAAAGGCAAAATTTACTTTCTTCTTTTTCTGGACCATCTTTCATTCTTTGAATGACGACTAGCTAGTAGAAACTAGTGTGAGATGCATAAATTGCCATCGACATTGTGCTACTGCCTAGATAGGGACTAAGATAATGAGAACCTAGGAAATCATGCCAAAGCCAATGGAACCTTAGCCTTGTACCAACTGAACAAGTTGAAAATTTTGGGTATATTGTTGTGTTTGAGATGAATGGTGGGAGGAGCTAATTTTGGGTATATTGTTTTATTGAATTATCATTATGAATCTCTATGCTTGGTCATATAGTAAAAATTACTAAAATAAACACAGAAAAAGGAAGAAAGACATGGAAAAACATCTGAACAATACTCTTGTCAATATCTTGGGTTGAAACTTCAATATATGGAAGATACAAATTCAACTAGTTTTTTTATTTATTTATTTTTAAATGTGAAATTGATTTCTGGTTGAACCGCCGTGTGGCTGACACGAGCAGCTTCCCCATGCCAAATAGGACTTGTGACAGCTGACGGAATGTTATTCGGACCCGTAGGTTGGGATTTAGAGCCGAATACGTCCAAAACTTAGTCAAAAAAGGGCGTTTCGGGGGCGAAAATTCAAAACAGCCCTTGAACCGCCATATGGCAAACACAAACACCTTCCCCATGCCAAATATGACTTGTGACAAATGACGAAATGCTATTCGGACCCGTAGGTTGAGATTTAGAGCCGAATACGTCCAAAACTTAGTCGAAAAATGGCGTTTTGGGGGGCGAAAATTGAAAACAACCCTCGAACCGCCGTGTGGCTGACACGAACACCTTCCCTATGCCAAATATGACTTGTTACAACTGACGGAATGTTATTTGGACCCATATGTTGGGATTTAGAGCCGAATACGCCCAAAACTTAGTTGAAAAGGGGCGTTTCGGGGCCAAAAATTGAAAACAGCCCCCGAACCACCGTGTGGCTGACACGAACACCTTCTCCACGCCAAATAGGACTTGTGACAAATGATGGAATGTTATTCGGACCCCTAGGTTGGGATTTAGAGACGAATACGCCCAAAACTTAGTCGAAAAACGGCGTTTCGGGGGCGAAAATTCAAAATAACCCTTGATCCGCATTGTGGCTGACACGAACAGGTTCCCCATGCCAAATATGACTTGTGACAACTGACGGAATGTTATTCGGACCCGTAGGTTGAGAAAATGCGACTTGTAATATTGCATCGTTACAAATGCCAATACAAAACAAGGAATGTTAGGATCATATAAATGTTAGTGATAAATGAGGGACAATATGTCACTCCATCTTCTCATTATGTGAATATTGTGTTAATGCTTACAAATTTTCTCAGTGCATGTCGAATATCTAATTCTAGTGTCTGTCTGGATTAATTGGGGGTGAATTGAGATGATTCCCTGTTTACAAGTATCCCATACTTTTTGGGTATTTTAAAAACAGACAGTTTAAATAGAAAATATATCCAAAATGATGTGTTAATGATATTTATAAAAAATTATGGGGACAACTGTGAAAAATGTGTTGAAATCGATAACAAGTGTTTCATGTTCTTGTTGTTTTTTCCCCCTCGTGTCCTGGTTGATTTTCTTCTTTCTTCTCATCCAAAACATGATGCGATGGTCTAAAAGAACTGGTTAGTTAAATGTCATGATTATATTAATGAAAAAGCCCAGTCCAAGTATTGACAAAGAAAAAGCTCTTTATAATATCTTTCTAGTATAAGTATTTTTGTTAAATGTTTTATCAAGCTCAAGTTCAATTTTTTTATCAAGCTCCCTCGATGGCACATGCAAGGTTACTTAGTTATGTTAAATGATTCATAATAATATCTTCCTAGCATGAGCATTTTTGTTTCTCAAAATGACTTATTTTCGTATTGTAGGTATGGGACCTTGTTACTGGAAGACTTTTACAAACTCGAGCTTTTCCACTACCAATTACTGCAATAGTTGTTGATCCAACAGAGATGAAGTTATTTTCTAGTGGTATAGATTACTAGTGGATATTTCTTTTTTGTATATGGAGGACATCATTTTTGTATGATTATCTGTTTGTATGGAATTATTATTTTGCATTGGATTATATTTGGTTTGTATAGAATTTGATGTTACAAGACCAAATTTTTGGATGGTTGAAAGTGAAATAGAAATAGACATATGTATTGTTTTGTTTATATACAAGGTGCAGGTTGCACGAAATAAATACAGGTTGTGCAGAAATAAATAATAATAAAAATAAAAAAAATAACACTGAATAAAGTTTTTGGCGACTAAATGTTTAGTAGCCAAAAAAACAAAATAAAACTTGTTAGCTACTAAAAATTTAGTAGCCAAAAACAAACCAAAGATTTTTTGGTGACTAAAAATTTTGTAGTAAAAAATATATGAGACTTTAGGCGACTAAATAGTTTAGTAGCTAAAAAAAATATGAAAATTAATTTTTTTTTTGACGACTAAATATTTAGTATCTAATAATAAATGATACTTTGGGCGACTAAAAGTTTTAGTCGCTGAAAATGAAAATTAATTTTATTAGAAAACTTTTGGCGACTAAATATTTAGTCGTCAATTTATGACTTTTGGGTACTGAAAAATATTTAGTCGCCAAAACCTTCTCCGACCATTTTCCCGCGACAAATCTAACGACCAAAATATTTAGTAGGGAAAAGGCTTCGGCGACTAAAATCTTACTTTTGGCGACTAAAACTTTAGTCGCCAAAAGTGCATTTTCTTGTAGTGTATAAAAATGTGTTATATATATTGATCTTATATAGCATATTATATATGTTGTATTTATATAATATGAAAAATCTAGAAATCCCCCAGATGTTGATTTGTGATTATGTATCAATTTTAAGCAGTATATAACAATCCCAATCAAACAATCAAGACAAATCGACACAACGATTTTACGTGAAAAAACCACAATTGGACACCTCCAATTGTGATAAAAAAAAAACCACAGGCAACAGTCACAAAACAATCCACTAAGAAGATATAAAGGAATTACACAGGTATACTCTCAATTCCCTAGCGAATCCACGCTCGAATTGAACCAACCTCTATGTGCCTCTTCCAAACCCGTCTTCAACTCGGAATTGTCTTGACGATGAGCCACTCCGAAATCCACCAAAGTTTCAGGCTCGAATTCTTCGAAATCCACCGAAGAACAACTCTCTCTTTTGTATAGAACAAACAAATAATCCTTTGATGTATACTCTTTAAACCACGAATTGAATACTCAATCAAGACATCAAAGAAAACCAGCAAAATATCCCCAGATATAAACCCTAGAACCCAAGAAGAAAATCTGGAGAAATAATCCTAAAATCTGACAGAAACCCATACTTATAGAAATCTGAATCACGATGCTCGCTCGAGCGAAGACTCTCTCGCTCGAGCGAGGAACCAAAAACGCGTGTTTTCCATAAGTGGCTTCGCTCAAGCCAAACAACCTGCGCTCAAGCGTGAAATCATCTCTTTCAGGTTTTTATACGGACGCAGCCTTCGCTTGAGCGAGCAAGGGCGGACATGCAACTTCGAATGCAATTTTGCATTTTGTTTCGGGAGCGCTGCCCCCTCGACCCCCGCGAGCTGACCGGGCAGCTCGATCCCCGTCATAATCAGCGAAGTGGCAATCTTGAAAGCATTAACATCACAAACTTCTCTGCAAGGCACAATTTGGGTTAGATTGGCATCTAAAAACTCGTAGCCTCACTGAAATAAAAAGTGTGAAAACAAATACAACTGAAAGGAGTTTTGTCAAACGGGGTTGTCAAAAATAAAAACCTAACAATCTCCCCCTTTGGCAATGCCGTGACAAAACACATCTAACAAATAAAATCCTAATCACCCCAACCCATTACTGCTAACAAACGCAAACTTCTTTCTCAAGGTCATAATCTGCAAAACAGCTATTAGTGCCACAATCTCCAAACCAACTATTAGTGCTACCAGAGTATATAAAAAAAAAAAAAACAATAAACATATGACTAGATTATCTTGAAGCATGAGATAAAAAATGAATAGATGGAAATTGGAGATTTTAAGAACATGTAGCATGAAAACATGAAAACTAAGACACATGCAACCGACACATGAATGGATGAAATCCTACTACGACACATGTGCATGAAAACATGAACAACAACTTTCTCCCCCTTTTTGTCACGAATTGACAATGGAAGCTCAATCAACTAAAGCATGATCATAAACCACACAAGCAATGATATGATGATGTAAATATCAAGAGCATGCAAGAAGGAAATAATAAGCAAACAGTGCATGGCAACATGCAAACCAAAAACCAATCTCCCTTTCACTCAAAGCAACCACAAACATTGTACAGAAAACAATGAACAAGAAGAAAACAACAAAAATAATATGGTGGAGTAAGCAAGAAATCTCAGATTTGTACCTTAGAACACATGAGATTATCCAAGAAACACAATTACTTGAAAACACAATGTGCACAGTCTATAGAAGAGTCCTCGTGAAAGAAAGTGATGCATTATGTGAAAAGCATAGATCCCATGATAAAAGTGTGTGTGTGACTCTTGGAGTTCGACAAACACAAGATTCAAATCCTAGTAGTGATCTGAAAGCTGGACCTTTGACAAGAGAATCTGAGCACCACTACAGAAAGTCAAACCACTAGGAATCAAGGGGTATTTGGTGAGTAAAGGCGGAGGCTCCCCCTCAATCAATAAATCCTTCATTTTTTCCTTTTCTTTTTCTTCTTTTTTTTTTACATCTTTTTCTTTTCTTTCTTTTGCAAATTTTTTTCTTTCTTTTGCACACTCATTGGCGGCTGACACGCTCAAGAGTATGGAAACTGAACCAAAGAAGCATGGATATAATAAGGATGGCCTGGTTGGTAACTCTGAGGTAGCCTTTTCCTCATGGCTAGACTACAAAGAATAGAGGGAAAAGCCGTGGAGGTGCAAAAAGATGGAAAGTGGTTAAGAGACTCAACATCACCCATGATATGCTAGTATAGGTCAATTCCTCTAGAAAAGCAAAAGATCCAATGCCAGAAGTCCATAGAAAAAAAATAATCACTAAGGCGGAAGACTCTGATATTTGCTAATCCAAGAGTGTGTACAGAATGAGACATACTAATAAAAAAACACACACTCCAAAATGAGTAATGACCACAGCACACACATATTAACATGTAATGGATATTCTTATCAGTTCCAGTATGCACTAAGGACCACTCAAAAATTTCAAACTTGCAAAACCATACAAAGAAAATCTTTTTGGATTTTTTTTTTCTTAACCAAAGCAAGACAAAAAAAAAAACGAACATGCACACATTAAGTGACTTAAAAAGAAAAACACAAAAAAATGAATAATCAATCTTAACACAAGTCAATTTTTCTCATCCACACCGCTTTAGTATGAACAAAGTTATGAGAATTGCGGTTCTTGGGTGGTGTCTTGACGTTGTGGTTCCCTTCCTTTTCAATGGGAACCCTTTTCGACTTGGTTTCCAACTTCCTATAGCTAGGTCTAGGCAAATGCAAACTCACTCCATATTTTTTGGCCAAATTTATAAACTGAGACCACTGATTTATAAATCAAAAATTTTACCAAACAAGTTTCTATTTGAGTTTTTAAAATTTTTGTAAATATAAACAGAAAACTGAAAACGTAAGTGTTACCAAACGGCACCTAAGTGACTTAAAAAGAAAAACACAAAAAAATGAATAATCAGTCTTAACACAAGTCAATTTTTCTCATCCACACCGCTTTAGTATGAACAAAGTTATGAGAATTGCGGTTCTTGGGTGGTGTCTTGACGTTGTGGTTCCCTTCCTTTTCAATGGGAACCCTTTTCGACTTGGTTTCCAACTTCCTATAGCTAGGTCTAGGCAAATGCAAACTCACTCCATGTTTGGTCTCAAGCACATCAAAATAACGAGGTCTAATGTGACCCTTAACCTCATTACCACCAATGAAGTGTCTCCTACCCCACGAGATGTTGGAATTTCTTCCATCTCTATGAGACAGTCTCCCATGCAATTCATAACAATAAGAGCGAATATAACTATGCATACCATAATGATGACAAATAAAAACAGGGTGTACCTTCTTTTCTTTTACCTTACCAACTCTAGGAAGTTTGGGAAGTCCATCCTTATGTTGAATTTTTGTTCTCCCTTTCCTTGAGTTCTTGTATCATGAGATGTAGATGCACTCTGTTTTTGCTCTTTGTTATCACCAAAGCCAATGCCACTCTTGTCAGAACAAATTTGTTGAGACCCAATGATATTGTCCAAAGTCTTTGATCCTCTGTTCCAAAAACTAATGGTAGCCATAGCACACTTGAGTTCTTCCTCTTTCTTGATCATTAGTTCTTCCAAAGCAACTTGAGACACCTCGAGAGTTTCAATCTTTTCTTCATATGTTGCATAGATTTGTTGTAACTCATTCCTCTCTATCTCACAAGTCAAGAGTTTTTCACAAAGAGCTTGTCGATCATTAGAAATCTTAAGGGCATCATTCCTAGCCTCGAAAATCTCTTTCTTTAATTTGACATTCTCACTTTCACATGCTTTGAGTTTCGTAGTGAGTTTGTCATTCAATTTGGATAAGTTAAGAGACTCCTTATACAACTTTTCATAAGCTTGCTCAAGCTCTTCATCATCACTCTCCGAGGATTCATCATTAGTGGCATTCTCAACCGACATCTTTGGATACTCTGTTCATCCTTCAGTTTCGGAAGCCGCCATGAAAGCAAGGAACTGTTTATGTCCCTCTTGACCTTGATCTTCATTGTCACTTTCATCTTCATCAGATTTTGATTCATCATCCCAAGTGATAGCGAGGGCTTTCTTCTTCCTCAAACGAGTGGGGCATTCTGAAGCAAAGTGGCCAAATCCTTAGCATTCATAGCATTGGACTCTTTCAGAGTTCCCTTGTATCTTTCCTTTCTCCTTCTTGGCTATAGGATTAATTTTGAGTTTATCTTTGCCTTTAGATTTATGAGTATGAGTAGATTCCAAAAGTTTATGATTCTTTTTCAGAAAAGATTTTTTAAATTGTTTTATAAAAGCATCCGTAATCTTGGAATCTATCTCACAATCCTCATCAGAATCCTCTCCAACTCTATGAGCACTACTAAAAGCAATAGCATCTTTTTGTTTCTTTTTGAAATTCCTATGTGCCTCATAAGTTTGGAGATTTCCAACCAACTGATCCAGCTTGAGGTTGTCAACATCTTGAGCCTCCTCAA